TTGTGGTTTTTTTTTTGGTGGCTCCTTAATATTAAGAAGTAACCTCCTTATATAAAACCCACGGCAATAAGGTTACTAAAGGCCAATTAAACCTAACTTAATGAAATTTTAAGTTCTTATTAAAGAGAAGAAAATTAAACCGAAATAATAAAATTAGTAATTAAGTTCTCTCCTAATGTCCATTGAATAACATTTCCATGTCCACTTGATCTCCAAAATCGCTTGGTTTCATCTTCTAGTTGTAATGCATATATCTTGGTGTAGTTAATTAGTTTCTTGCTCCACTGGAATTACTCTAGAGTCTAGACATCTGAAATCTCCATTTTCCACTTATTTTTTGTGTAACATCCGTATTGAATGCCTAGAAAAAAAAAACATAAAATTGAGTGTTTTTAAACCATTTGAATATACAAAATTCAAAGAAAATATATGATAAAAATATATAAAAATATGACCACATCAATAATCTATAAAGTCTGGTTCAAAAAAAAAAAATAATAATAATAACAAATTGAGGTTTGAAATATCCACATTCCAAATGGATCCTAATTTATGACTTCCTTTAGTCTATTAGCATTATATCATCAACATAAATGAACATTATGGTATCTTATCATCCCGTTTACTTTTAGTGTATAATGTTGCTTCACTGGTAAACTTCTAATAGTTACATAATTTTAACAGTGTTCAAGCTTACATCAAAGCAATCTTAGAGAGATGAAAATATTTTGCAAAAGAATAGCATTATTATTATTTTTTTCTTTCTCAACCCTCATGTTTTTTAAACTAAAAATTGAAGGAGATCTAAATTTCTCAACCTAAAGAAAGTTGAAAGAAGGCGTCAGAAACGTGCAGAGCTGGGTGTATGAATTCGTACTGAAGATATAAATAAAATTGGACTGGTTGCTTCTATTTGGAAGTGTTGGGTGTAGAAACGCTCAGCAATGGGTGTACAAAGTATAATAGCGCGTGGGCCCATGGAGTGGTGGGAGAGAGAACATGCGTTGGAAATCAAATGAGAGACACAACACAACCTTTTAGTAGAGCACTAGCTAATACATTACTAGCTACTAGGGCACAAAAGTAGAGGAAAAGAGAAGGACAGGAACCAACGGCTATAATTTGTGAAGGTCCCAGCTGGCATCAAAAACCAACTTTCAATTATGAAGGCCAGCTGTAGCATATACACAATACAATACACGGAATGACGAAACTCCTCCCTTAACTATAATTGACATGATCATTTTCTTTAAATTACGTATTATTATACAAATTATAAGCTATATGTATTTACAATTTAATAACTTATAAATAATATTTATTATTATTATTTTTTAAATACGTAATGTATCATCTATTTTTCCATCTCAATACTAAATTTCTCCATATTATCCCAACTCAAAACCATATTGACCATTATTAGGTCTTTGTTTTATTTGTGAAGGACCCAGCTGGCACTAAAAATCAACTTTCAATTATTAAGGCCAGCTGCAACATATTGACCATATTATCACAACGCTAAATCATATTGACCATTATTAGGTCTTTGTTTTATTTGTGAAGGACCCAGCTGACATTAAAAATCAACTTTCAATTATTAAGGCTATCTGTAACATAGTGCCTATAATATCTTAAAGCAAAACACGTGATTAATTACCCATATTTTTTTCATAATAAAAATTTTCTATTAATAATGGTCAGTATGGTTTTGCGTTGTGATATTATGGCCAAAATGTTACATCTGGCCTTAATAATTGAAAGTTGATTTTTAAGGATTTGGATCCTCTCCTGGGGGTCCGAATTCTCTTGATCTAATAATAGATGCCGTTGAATTTTTATTAAATGATTATAAATAAATTTTTTAAATTATAATAATTATAACTATTAGATCAAAATTTAACCATTCGTATTATTAGGTTAGAAAGATTCGGACCCTGCTCAGGAGAGGATTCAAATCCTTAAAAATCAACTTTCAATTATTAAGGCCTGTAACATTTTGGCCATATTACCACATCGCAAAACCATTTTGACCATCTAAAGCCCATGGTTCCCTAAACCATCTACCTTTCGTGTTCGGCCTTCTGTGGACCTTGATGCCATCATGGTTTGCGACTTAATTGATTCGGGCTCCAACTCTTGGAAGTCGAACATCATTCGTGCTGGATTCCACCGGGAGGATGCCGACACTATTCTAAGTATCCCATTAAGTTATTTTGGCTGTGATGACAAAATGGTGTGGCACTATACAGCGAATGAGGATTATTCTGTGAAAACCGGCTACAGTGTAGCAATGGACTTGATGGAAAACGGTGCTTTGGGCAAGAAGGGACGGGGTGCCCCTAGTGAACAAAAGCAACTTAACAATGTCTGGGTCAAGATATGGCGCCTAAGGGTTCCGAACAAAATCAAGCTCTTTATTTGGAGATGTTGTAGCAATGCCTTGGCTGTTCGACGGAACCTTCAGAGACGGCATATGAGGGTTGATAATGTATGTGGTGTGTGCAATGCGCCGGACGAGACGAAAAACCACCTATTCTTTCGATGTATTTTCAGTCATTTATTCTGGTTTTGCTCTCCTCTTCACCTGAACTCCATTGAATTGGCTGGAGTGGACTTCCTTGATAGCTGGGGAAAATTCCACAAGTGTGTAAAGGATAGGGTCAACGCAGATGAGATATGTCAAGAATTTGCTTTTGGATTATGGAGACTATGGAAAAACAGGAATGAAGTCGTCTTTAAGGGGCTGCACCGTCAACCTCTGGAAGTTCTGGATTTATGGCGGAAGAACATCAATGAATTTAGGGAGGCGACAACTAGTGTGGATGGGGACGTTGAGACCATGGCAGAAGGCAACCACCCAGCTACTGCCCGGACTACCCCTCACTGGCAAAGACCCAAGTACAGGACCATCAAGATCAATACGAATGCGGCATGGTGTAAGGAATCCCATCGTGCAGGCGTGGGCTGGGTGGGGAGAGACTTTGCCGGGGTGCTCCAAGCTGCGGGCGGCTCCGGGACTATGCTCTGTCAAAGCGCTGCTGCGGCCGAAGCAATAGCGATACGCACAGCGTTGTTGGCTTGTATTAATCACAGGTTCAATCATGTAATTGTTGAATCTGATGCTCAGAGGATCATTCATATGATCAGGAAGGAAGTGTCTGAAGACTGTAATTTGGACTGTGTGCTTGGCGATATCAAGATACTAGCTCGAAAGTTGACGTCGGTGACGTTTGCGTTTGTGCCTAGGGAGAGCAATCAGGCTGCTCACTTGGTGACTAAGTATGTGTTAAAGGAAGGTCGTGATTTCACCTGGGATAATGTTGGGCCAGTTTTTTTGTTTAATACTCTTGCCAAAGATGTAAACCTTTTGATTCGCCTTTAATATATTTTATCCTTTGGAAAAAAAAAATATTGATGTGCGATGTGGGACAATGGTCCTTCACAAGTTCCAACATTTAAATGCCAATAGTTTTATCCGGTAACGAAAATACAATGATCAAAATGAAGTGGTCTAAACTGTTATACAAGAGTTTATTTCATTTTCGCTTTGTTTACTGAGTTTTCGGTTGTGAATTTTTCATCACCATCATAATATGTTAGATGGTGTGTAAAACGAGTCAATTTGTTTCTTTGAAGTACTTGTTTCTTTTGTTTATGTGGATATTTTTCAGTAAATGCATGAAACTCAAGAATCAGAATGGTTCCAATTCTTATTCTATATAAATAAACCTGTCATGTTATATGAAATCATAAAAATATTGGATTGATGAGTCATTTAGTACTACAATATAGTGATATTCTTTTAGATTTGTAAGTGTTAGGTTTTAGGTTCGATTCTTGCTAAAGACAAATTTGAATCACATTATTAATAGTCTATTGTGAGACTTAGTTTACACCTCAAACCCTTTAATATAAATAATATCGTTTGTTCAAATAATAATAATAATAATAATGATAATAATGGATTGAGGTTTGAAATTTCCTCATTCCAAATGGACCCAATTTATGACTTTCTTTAGTCTATTAGCATTATATCATCAACATAGCTGGACATTATGATATCTCATCATTCCCTTTGCTTTTAGTGTATAATGTTGTTTCACTTATAATTTTCTAATGGCTACATAGTTTTAGCAGTATTCAAACTTATATCAAAGCAATCTTAGCCTATCATCTGACACCTTATGAGATGAAGACATTTGACAAAATAGTTGCATTATTATTATTATTATTATTTTCTCAACCCTCATTTTTTGAAACTAGAAATTGAAGGAGATCTAATTTTCTCAGCGGAAAGAAAAATGAAAAAAAGGCGCCTGAAACGTACAACGCTGGGTGTATAAATTCGTACTAAAGGTACAAATAAAATTGGACTGATTGCTAGAGGTTTAGAGGTTTAGGATTATCTCTCTTTCTCTTTTCATTTCTTTTATCTCTTTCTTTCACATATTTTATTTTATCTTTTTTTATATAAAAAAATTAATATAAGATGTTAATGTAGTTTAATCGTAATCATTTAAATAGAAAATGAAAAAAATAAAGAAAAAACAGAAGAAAAGAGAATCCGGGTGTACAAAGGTCCAGCGGTGGGTGTACAAATGATGGAGGATTATAATAGCGTGGGCCCAGGGAGCGGTGGAAGAGAAAACATTACATGTTTTTATATAAATGGTAGAAAATTTAAAATTTAAAATTATTAATTTTTTAACACACATATTCTGCTATTTATATAAAAATACATGATGTACCAACTCGTGTGAGGATCACACTGAAAAATCTTTCTAACACAAGGTTTAGTAGAGCACTGGCTAATCCTTTACTAGCTACTAGGGCACAAAAGTAGAGGAAAAGAGAAGGACAGGAACCAACGGCTGTAATTTGTGAAGGACCCAGCTGGCATTAAAAACGAACTTTCAATTATTAAGGCCAGCTGTAACATATTGACTATTCTTGGTCATTGTTTTTATTTTATACATTGAATGATGTGTGAGTCGTTGAATGAGAGATGGGCATGTAGAGACTAGCAGGAGGAGCCATCTTTCATTTACGCAAAATCAATTTCTTCGTTACAACTTTATATTTTAATTCACTTCACTTGGGTTTTTGCTTGTTCTGAATACAAGAAATGGCAGAAGGAGTTCTCTTTAATATTGTAGAACGGATCATTGTAAGTCTTGGCAACCGTGCTTTCCAAGAGATTGGATCGATTTGGGGTGTCCAAGATGAGCTCAATAAGCTCAAGAGGACAGTTGTCGGATTCCAAGCTGTTCTTCTAGACGCTGAGCAAAAGCAAGCCAACAACAGAGAAGTCAAACTATGGCTGGAAAGCGTAGAAGATGCAGTTTATGAAGCCGATGATGTGCTGGATGAGTTTAATACTGAAGTTCAGCGGAGACTAGTGATGCATGGCAATACTAAGCTGTCAAAGAAGGTATGCCTCTTTTTCTTTAGCTCAATTCAACTTGTTTTCTGACGAAAGATGAATCATTAGATAAAATATATTAACAAGAGGATTCGAGAGGTTGCACCTTGTAGAACATTTTCATAATCACGTATGCCTATTGATATTAACCTCTTAGGAGCACAATAGGTCTCCCAACAACTCATAATTAACTGCAATAAGTCTTCTAAATTGTTGTTTTGAATGTTTCATATAACTTACCGTTACAAAACTCTATTAACTTATTAATACAATTCTATCGGATTGTGTCTACTCAAATTCTTACAGGTGCGCCTTTTCTTTTCTAGCTCAAATCAACTTGTTTTTGGGTTAGAGATGAGTCATAAGATAAAAGATATCAACAAGAGGCTTAGTGAGATTGCATCCGGTAGACCCAGTGACTTAAACGATAGCCGTGAAGATACAAGATTTATATTGAGAGAGAGGGTCACTCACTCATTTGTCCCTAAGGAAAATATTATAGGGAGAGATGAAGATAAAATGGCAATTATCCAACTTTTGTTGGATCCCATCTCAACTGAGAATGTGTCAACCGTTTCCCTGATTGGAATTGGAGGATTGGGGAAAACTGCCCTTGCCCAACTCATATTCAATGATGAGGTGATTCAAAAGCATTTTGTGTTGAAAATATGGATATGTGTCTCTAATATATTTGAGTTGGATATACTGGCTAAGAAAATCCTAAAAGCTGACAAGCGTGATAAAGAGGAGCGTGATAAGGTGGACCAGCTTAATATGGATCAGCTGCAAGATGATCTTAGAAAAAAAGTAGATGGGAAGAAATACCTACTTGTGTTGGATGATGTGTGGAATGAGGATCCACATGAGTGGCTTAGGTTGATGGACTTGTTAAGGGGTGGTGGAGAAGGTAGTAGAATATTAATAACCACTCGTACTAAAACCGTTGCGATGACATCACACACAACTAAACTGTACACCTTAAGGGGTTTGAATGAAGATCAAAGTTGGTCTTTATTTAAGAAAATGGCTTTTGAAGATGGAAAAGAACCAGAGAATTCAACAATTAAGGCAGTTGGGATGGAGGTTGTAAGAAAATGTCAGGGAGTTCCACTCGCTTTAAGGACGATAGGTGGGATGTTGCGCACCAAACATCATGAAATAGAATGGTTTAATTTCAAAGAAAGGAAACTTTCAAAAATAAGTCAAAAAGAAGATGATATTTTACCAACACTTAAACTAAGTTATGATGTGCTCCCATCACATTTGAAGCATTGTTTTGCTTATTGTAGCTTGTTCCCACCTGATTATGATATCTCTGTACCAAGATTGATTAGACTTTGGGTGGCACAAGGGTTCATTAAGTCATCCGACGAAAACGAGTGTTTGGAGGATGTTGCGTATGAATATTACAAGGAATTGTTGTGCAGATCGTTTTTTCAAGAAGAAAAAACAGATGTGTTTGGTATAACAAGAAGTTGTAAAATGCACGATCTCATGAATGAACTTGCAATCTTAGTGTCGGGGGTCGGAAGCGCCGTAGTTGAACCAAACCAAAAGAATTTTCATGAAAAGGTTCGTCATGTATCTTTAAATTTTGATATTGATTTGTCGAAATGGGAAGTGCCAACTTCCTTGCTAAAAGCATGCAAGATACGAACTTTCTTTTTCTTTGGAATTTGAGAAATAGAGATGGGTCATTATGTGATTCATTTTGTGCTACAATTGTTTCAAATTTTAAGTCATTACGTATGTTGAGTCTCAATGATTTAAAAATTACAACATTACCTAATTGTCTTAAAAAGATGAAACATTTGAGATATCTTGATCTTAGTGGAAATTCCATGGAGAGACTTCCAGATTGGATAGTTGGACTTTCGAATTTGGAAACACTAGATCTCACTTGGTGTTATATGCTTGTGGAATTGCCTAAAGACATTAAAAAAATGATCAACTTAAGGCATCTCATGTTGAGAGGTTGTGATGGGTTGACTGGAATGCCACGTGGAATTGGTGAATTGAAAGGTGTTCGTACATTGAATAGATTTGTTTTGAGCGAAAGCAATTGTTTGGGGAGGGGCGGTAGTGCTGGTCTTGCTGAGCTGGGGACCCTTAACGAATTAAGGGAAAAGTTACTCATAAAGAATTTGAGGCATGTGGTGTCAGAATCAAATGTTGGTACACCTCTCAAGGACAAACAGCATCTCCATTTGTTGGATTTAAGGTGGAAATATGAAGATGTAAAGGGAGTTGATGAGGAGGATATTATAAAGTCAATGGAAGTATTGCAACCCCATTCTAATCTAAAGCAGTTGTCCGTGTGGTATTATGGTGGTGTGAGGTTTGCGAGTTGGTTTTCTTCTCTCATTAATATTGTTAATCTCACATTCTGGAATTGTAACAGATGCCAACATCTTCCACCCTTGGATCATTTGCCTTCCCTTAAGAAACTTGAACTTATAAGTTTGGAGAAGTTGGAGTACATATTACTATCAGAGAAAGAGAGCATTAATAGTATGAGTGATGAGATGATGAGGATCTCATTCTTTCCCTCCCTGGAGACACTCGAGGTAAGAAATTGCCCTGTTCTGAAGGGATGGTGGAGGGCGCACGCTCGTAACACTGCTTCTTCATCAACGGAAAATCTGTCGTTGCCATCTTTTGCCTCTCTTTCTACATTGTGTATTTATGAGTGTCCTAATCTAACTTCCATGCCTCTGTATCCAAATGTGGTTAAAATGGTACTCACTGGGAACAGCTGGAAGGTTGTTGATTCCTTGTTTGTTAGAGGAGCATCTGATATTACACATGATGTTGGTGTTGATGTTTCTGCCTCTTCTTCTTCCCCTCATCTCTCCAAATTAACACATCTGACACTCCATGGATTTGAGGATTTGGCATCACTGCCAGAAGAAATAAGCAATCTCACGTCACTTCAGAAGCTTACAATTAGAGTTTGCCCTAATTTGGCATCAATACCAGAAGGGATTCGTGGACTCCCCTGTTTAAATACATTGGTGATTGAGAAATGCCCCATGTTAAGCGAAAGATGCAAAAAAGAAACAGGTGAGGACTGGCTTAAGATTGCTCACATCCCATCCGTTGAAATTGATAAATCTTAAGGTGCGTTTTCTAACTTGTTTGAATTTACACTTGCCTAATTCAGTATAAGCTACGAAATATTAAAATGCCGATCTCGTTCTTATTTTTATTCTTCATTCGTCATCACCAGCATTTTATTTTTCTTTCCAGATAGCATACCATGTGGATCAATGATTTCGGTATGCATTCATTACCCACTCAATTTAATTTATTTATTTATTTTTAGTTCGTCAACCTTTTGGATTCAATATGTAAGGGCCATGTTGATTGCTTGGAGTGGTTGTATATGATTTTACTTTTGATCGTTGGGGTTTAAGTACTATATCATCTCGTTGTATATTTTTTCTTTAAATAATATAATATGGGCGTGAGGGTCTAGCCCCCCAGCTTCGACTGGGTTCCAGCCCTCTTTAAATTTTTTTTTAATATTTGTTGATGTATTGGAAGCAAAATCACCTTTGTCACGTTATAACATATGTCGCATAATTATACCAAACAATGATACAACAACAACAACAACAAAGCCTTTTCCCACTAAGTGGGGTCGGCTATATGAATCTTAGAACGCCATTACGTCTATTAATTATCAATGCACTGAAGTAACCAAACATTCCAAAATCGAGGAAACTCCAAAATCAACTCTGGATACGGCTCCGGACACAAATATCTGCTCCAAAACCCGAAACTACCCACTAAAAAACGCTACACTCAATAAAGCAAATAAACTGATTATGTTTTGTTTAGTTCATGACAACCATTACAAAAACAAAATATTTGTTGTTTTTTCCATGTCCCGTCTCTATAAACAACCCAGACAGCTCCTAGTTAGTTTCTTTGTTTTCTTTTCCTCGATTTCCTTAGCAATCAAATGGTCTCCCTAAGTACAAACAAATTCTTCAAACATACTGAATGTTTACTAATATTTTTCTTTTCTTTCCTTTTATTCATCTACCCAGTTGAACTGGTCTCTTAAGTTTTCTTAATCTGCAATCAAAATATATTGGTTTCTTAAAGTTTTATTCAAAAAATTTACTTGCATGTAATCAAAATACATTGGTTTCTTAAGTTTTCTTTTCCATCTTCTATCCAGCATATCTAAGTTCATTATTAACCCACACCAGTTCATACTTATTATAACATGTTATAGATTTATTTTTAAAAAGTTGAAGATGCTTGTATTGCCAATAACTAAAAAGGGAAAAGTACGGACCTTGACATTCACACAAAAATCTTCCATGTAGTTCTTTGTCATCTACAAAAACAAACTTACTAACAGATCAGTCAAAGGAAAATTATTACAACCTCTGCAAAAACAAAATATGACATGGGTTGTGCTCATAAAAGCATTTGGATTGATCACAATTCGTGACCTGTTATACATGATATCTCCTTAGACATTTTGGGAACTTGACAGCTTAAATTTTCTTTAGTCACATGTGCTCATAAACGCAAATTACAGCGACCCAATGTCTACTAAAAACTTGGAGAAGGGACTCAATTAGTCAACGAACAGGTGCCTCACACGTTCCTGTTAAAGACCAAAGAGAGAACCTGTTTTCATTCATATTTGTGCTGTTTCGATTAGCTTATCTCACTATGACTTGATTCATTAGTTCTATAGGCAGTTCTAATCACTACGAAAACAGCTTAATAACAGTTGATTATCTATAAAACAAAGAGGGAAAACATAGAAATACTATCTGTAATTAATAATAAAATACCATGAATTTGTTTTTGGGAAGCTGCTTTTAGGTTAGTACCCTCGTCTGGTGAAAACATATCCTACAATGCAGCAAGAAATAGAGTAAAAGGAATAATAGTTGGTTTCCATTTAGAACCTCAAAATCCCACTTTAGTCTTTCTCTTACCAGAGAAAACAGCATCTCCCGTGAAAGTGAATTCGAACTTGGCATCCATTCCTCCATCATACTTAGAAGCAACCACATCCTGAAAGTAAGCCCCCTGACGAACGAACTTTCCCATCCATCCACCGACTCCGAAGTCCTGAACTTAACAATTGTAAGTTTGCTCTTGCTACTCTTTCCTGCTCGTAATTGCGCCATTTCGTTGTTATAGTCCTGCAATGCGAACAGTCAAAAGCTTCCTGTAAGCAACTCTCGAAGGGTAAAATTCAAATCCAACATTGAACCAACCAATGAACTTAAAAGACATCAAAACCGAAACAGATTACTAAATGTCAAAAAAGAGTATTTCAAGGATATGGCAATAATGATCACACCTGCAATGCTTTGGTAAGATTGTAGACCCCTCTTTGATCAACCCTGTAGAGGTCTCCGCTGATAGTAGAGCCTGCAGTAGCATAATAGATAATCTTGTTACAGCCCTGTACTGCGGTGGACAGGGTAGCAGGATCACCCACATCTCCAGTCAATGGCAAGACAGATATGAAAAAAGAGAGAAAATGATAACACCCACCATTTAAAGGAGTAAAAGCACAAAAATTATCTTGCAAACCCTTGATTTATCGGTAAAAAATAAATCAAAGAGTCAAAAAAATAATTTAAAACCAATTCTATATTTCTAAGCAGAAGATGTGCAATTTTTTTTATATTCGTCTTCAATTTGTGGCACTTCATTCTCAATAATGAACAATTCACAAAATTCCAGATTTGCTACATCAAAGGACAGACCAAATAGGAAAACGCATCATTCGTTATCCAAATTGAAACAACAATCCCACTAAAATTGACTACTCATAAGAATCTCATTCCACAAAACTTCTTCAGTCCAGGCCTACACAACTGCAAGAAAAAAAATCCCCAGGATACATACTTTCATCCAAATCATCCACCGCCTTTAACAAAACCACAACCTATATCTTCCTTTCAGCTCAGATTAAAGCAAAATTTGAAACCCTAATCACTCCCAAACATGCTTTTGGAATATGAATAGGAAGGAAACTTGAAATTAGAGGATCATACAGAATTGGGATGGGGATTGGACTCGTGCTCAGAATCGACCTCTTCCTCTTCCTCTTCGGATTGATCACCGAATAGGTTCTGCATCAACCGGTGCCACTTCTCCCCCATCGCTGCTGGTGTGTGTTGCAATCGGAGCCCTCAAACTACTGACATTAAATAGTTCATTTGATTAGATCATAGAAAATATCACCATAGCATCCTGCAAATTTTGACAAGTGTGCGTCGAAACAAATCTGAAAATGAATGAAAACCCTGTTAACCAAACCCATAAACAATAACAGATGCCACACCAATCGTAGCACACAAAACCAATCCTACATGGCGAAATCCAATCAACGAAACAAAAAATACTCCGAAACCTATCAGCCAATATACAGCAAGTAGAAGCAACGCAATTAAAAAAAAAAAAAAACCCCAAATCCGCAATGATCCAAACAGTTAAAACTAGGGTTTGATACTTAATGCGCCTATTGCTATTAGACTTTGATCCCCGAGAATCACTGGATACTGTTGATGATGCCATTGTGTTCAAGCCAATGGATTTCAACCCTATCCGGCAAAACACCACAAACTCCATCAGAAAAAGATTCTCAAAGATAATGGGTGAGGGGATTACATTTGAATTGCCAGAGGATGTTGTTGAAAAGATCTTGATTGGAATATGGCTAGGCCGGACTGCCTTAGAGGAATGGGCAGAAAAGGTTCCCGCTCCGAGCATCCAACTGCTCAAATACCCAAATTAATAACCAAACAATAAAAAAATAATACAAAAATCAAGGGTTTCACAGAAAAATCTCTAAAACCCACAAACCCAAAAAAAAATTATCATTCAAAAATCTCACCGTGCTCAGAAATACTAATTAAGATTAAGGGGTTTATACGAGCAAAAACACATACAAACATGGAAATGTCATACAATCCAAACCCACTTCCACGAAACGAGGCCGTATCGATCCAGCTAGAACCCTCTCGATAACCTCCTTCACTGCAACCTATCAATTCCAACACAAAAATTGAGAAAATGTGCGAGAAAATTTGAGCTTGTGATTTTCTCGGAAACCAAACAGGGGTCTAGACTCTAAACCAAACCTTAGGCGAAGGGTGGAGAGCGAGGGCAGAGGCGAGCTTCGGGTGAGCAAGAATTCGGCTGCAGATTTGGTTCCAGGATTTGCTAACGCATGCCGCTGACGCGAAGGATATGGCGGTTAGGTGCGAGAGGATGTCATCGAGAATGTCGTCGTTTATCGACGCGTGGAGCGAGAGGGGAAGAAGCGGTGAAGATGCAGAAGGCGATGCGTAGTCGAAGAGGAGCATCCCACGATGATCGACGCGTGGGCACCAGGCACAAACGCAGAAAGCAACCCCAAAACACTGTCGTTCGGTATGCAATCCCATCCCCTTCTTTAGGCTAAAGAAATGGTGATAAATGATATGATACGAGCAGACTTCAAAGTATCACAAGGAGCCAGACAGGAGATTGAAAACGCAAAGCAGCGACATGATGTTTGTAGTTTCTAAACATGTATTATATGTTGAAATTGATTTCCGCCTTTTTTATAGACATATTATAAACATTTAATTGAACTGATCAAAAGAGAATCAACGAACAAAAAAAAGCGTAGAATGAGAAAACGGAATTGGTTCCAAAAACCATAAATAGGAGCACTGCTTTATAACATAATAAAAGAAATGAGGCAATCTCTCTGTACAGATTCTGGTTAGTGGTTCAATAAACAAATACAACAGAAACTACCATGAAAAATACCCTAATTGGAGCTATAAAACCACTACATTGCAAGGTACAACATAAAACTATCAGCACACGAGGTTACGGTTACCTGCCACATCGAAAACTCTTACAGGGACTCCTCTTCGTTTGCCAATCACAAAGAAAGGTTCCGCTTCGTCGCTTCCATTTTTAACAAAAGATCCTTTATATCAGCTTGCATTCTCATCTTCATATTGGAGTATTCACGATGCGCTCGGTCTAGAGCTTGTACTTCTTCAAGTTTCTTGCTGTGCATTTCTTCTGCCTCTACTAAGCGCAACTTTGCTATCCTGCTCCTAAATTCTTCTTCAATTTTTTCATTCTTTGCCATTGCTATGCGTTTCAGCCCCTCAGCTTCTCTTCTTGCATCATCTGCTCGTGTTTGAAACAATTTTGCCTCAGCCTGCTTGATCCTCACAATGCTCTCCAGCTCTTCGAAAAGAGGTTCTTTTTGGGCACTTGTGTTCAACTCTGTGTTGCGTTTCTCATGCTGATCGTAGTTAAAGCTAGGATGAGTGTTAGCTGCAGTCTCCAACTGAGGGACCTTTTCTGTGTATATTGATTTCAGCCATGTGGGTTCCTGGCTTGGCCCAGCAATCCCATTGTTCACTTTACTTTGATCCTTCCCAGATAAAGTGGCTGTTTTGCCTAGCTTGGAACTGTCAGCATCTGAAACAAAAGTGGAGGACTTGTTTAAAAACAGTACAGTTTCCAATTAACTAAGCACAGTATTACAACAGAGAACAAAAAGGCAAAACTTCGAGTATCAATAAAGGCATGACTTTTCTGCCTTCGGGATTTTGTACTCGTGCTATGTCATAATATTCTCACATAACCACAAAAAAGCAGTTCAGAGACATCGATACGATGTATTTAGGCCAGGCATCAAACTGAATCCCAAAACCCATAATCCTAAGAAACGCGAAGCTTCAAGCAAGCCAAACTCATAATTTATGTACTACAGAAACCATCAGTTGTAATTGTTCAAGCAGAAAGAAGAACACTTCCCCCAAAAGATTTGTATTTTGCATCTTCAATATAAAAACAAAAGGCTTCAAGTTGCTTCAATATATCAAAGGGTTTCCATTCATGTCATAACAAAGAACACAATTTATAAAACTTTTATTTACAGCAATTCACTAGTATCAAAATCTCCATGTAACATCGATATCTTGTAACCCATGGAGAAAGGAAGCATCTGTAAATTTAACAAATGATGTAGCACGATATACCAAAACCATTTTCCCAACGAAAAATCCAACAAAAGCAAGGGTAAGTCATATAAGAAAAACTACATAGTGCCAAATGACTCTTCTTTTATAACTCAATATCATTAAACACTCTACCGAAAACAAATATATGACAAATTGATAATATATTACAGATAATTTTTCATTTTCAGAAAAAGCATGATCCTAAACAATGATATTATGACAATGCATGCAGATTATGACCCTGAATAGTATTGTAAGAACGAAACAATAAATTCTTTCTGATAAAACAAATAACTTACCCAAAAGAAAAGCCATGACATAATTGTACACCTCCGGAAGGTCAGACTTGTTTACCAATCTTGCCAGTGATTGATCGGCAATTTCATAAAGTCGTCTCCCTCTCATGCCCTTACTGACAACAAATATTCTCTTAACGTATTCAAGTTCCCTAGCAAGATTTTCAATTGTCCAATCCTTTGCAAAATTCTGAAAAACCTCTTTCACAAAGCCAAACATCTCAGAAGGATGATCGCAGGCAACACAATGAAACTGCATCTCAGTCATCCCTTGAGATCCAGTAGCACTGCGTCCATTTCTAATATAAGATTCCCGCAATGCACAATCCGCGTGGCACCAATGGAGACAAACATCACACCCAATCCAACTACATGTATTCGAGGCCATGTCAAACTTTGAGCACACAAGACACATACACGCACTGCAAAAACCACTCTTTTGCGAACAAACCTTGCAATCACATTCATCCACAGGCACAAGACTCCGACAAGAAGGATTTCTGCATCTTGAGTTAAGAAAAATTTCAGCCAAATCAGAAGATGCACCATTCTCTTGCTGGAGATAATCCGGTAGACCAGTCTTCAGAGCAACCAAGATTTCCAGTTGCGCACGATGAGCTTTTAGTAGCATCTCCATGGTTATATCAGACCTGCTCTGCAATGCCTTCTGAAATGCAAACAGTTGCATGCGCTTATCCATATTTAACATCATATCGCGAATGGTCTCCTTCACACATGAAGTGGATTGTCCTGTCATCTCATGAAACTTCCTAGCCATTACATGTATGGGATCGGAGACTATCCTGGCAACGATTGTCTCCACAAAGTCAGCTCCACCAATGAGAAATTTCTCGTGTTCCTTCTGACTGCTAGTCCTATATAAACTACCACTACTTTTCTCTCTCATTAGTCGTTTTCTGTCAAAACTATAGTTTGATCCCATTTCATGAGATCCAACGCTATTCGAAGGTGATCTAACATCCTCATGGTTCCTTGTCTGTCCACCTGACAACTGCTTATTGAAGCTCAGATGCCTTTCCATTCCATTCGTCACTTCAGAGCTTCCTTCAGGATGCCTACGATGTTGTTGCCCTTGGACCGATTGACCATTTGGAATGCCTTGCGATGCTTGAGACTGTTGTTGATGAAACCCGTTTCCATTCATCAAGATTCTTTGATACAAAGGGATTTCTTTGCTCTTAGCATCATTCTGAACAAGTGCCTGCCAAGGAACTTCTTTACCCTTAGCCTCAGTCTGAGCGAGTGCCTGCCAATCGATTCCCTGGAAAAGCGGACGACTTTTAACCGACTGTTCAAAGTCCACCGAATTCTGGGTGGTTAGCGAACAGCTAGGGTTGTGATAAAACGACTGAGAGCCTGAAAAGGATACTGATTGAGTAAATCCATCAGAGTTAGTACGAAAAGTATTACTTAGAGACTGAACACTCATTGCTTGGTCGGGAGAACCAGGAGCTGCACCACCAATGGGTAACAAAACATTTGGCAAGCTAAGAGAAAGATCAAGCGGCTCAAGTGCCAGCTTTTCATCCTTCACACTGGAACCAGATTGATCAGCTTTCTCCTTTCGCCTAACAGGAGAGCTTGAAAACAACTCAAAACCCCTAGTGCTGAGTCCTTCTATATCATTTTCCAACCCAATTAACAGCTCTCTGGATTCTCTGGCAGTCCACCGACCATCTTCTGCTGAATCTACCATATCGGTCGGTGTCACAGCGACGCTTTTACCTTTATCCTTAAAATTCTGACTCATACTATTCACCGTATCCAGCTTAACCAATTCATTATCCTCCTCATCCTCTGTTGCTACCTTGTCTGACTCTGTCATTTCATCGTCATCATCCTCCGCCTTCAATTCAAGGTCAATTCCCTTATCTTGCTTTGGTTCCTCTTCCAATTCCATCGGAATCTCCGCGACCACTTCTTCATCACCTTCCCTGAAACTCCCTTTTCCATCATCCTCATCTTCACGAGCTTCCACATTCCCGCTTTTATCAATCATTTCGTTATCACCATTTGGCAAGTCATCATCTTTCTTCTCCTCCTCATCCTTCCTTTCACACACACTCTCTTTACTCACATCTTTCACCTCTTGTTTATCCGAGGACTCACCTTTCTCCTCCCTAGCCTCTTGTTTATCCAGAGACTCACCTTTCTCAACCCTATCTGTATCCCTATCTGAAGTCTCGCTTCGAATCCGTGTTTCTTCTGTTTCAGCTCCACCTTCAGGACCCAGTTGGGGTTCACCTTCACCTTCACCTCCACCTCCAACACCAGCTCCAGCTTCAGGCACAAGCTCACCCTCCTCCATTTCACTACTAGTCCTACTCCCCTTCTCAGCCTTAACCTCCTCCGTCTCCCTCTTCCTAACCTCAACACTCTTTGGCTGCTCAACCGGAACCTCCTCCGTCTCCGTCTTCCTAAACTCAACACTCTTTGGCTGCTCACCCTGAACCTCCTCCGCCTCCACCTCCCTCTTCCTCACCTCAACACTCTTCGACTGCTCACTCCCCACCGAGTCCTTAGACCAAGTGGGCGACTTGGACTTGGACTCCGATTTCGACTCCTTCCCATCCCTAAACCTCCTCGCAGGGGACCTAACCCTAGACTGCTCGCTCCCTGAATCCCTCGAATTCGACCACGTCGGCGACCTCACGTCCCTCAACCCCTTCCCTCCTCCTCTCTCCTCGAACTCCTTCCCAAACCTCCGCCACGACAACGCTCCGCTCCCGCTGCCTTCGCGCCTTGACCTGTCCCGCTCCGATCGAAACCCTTTCGGAAAATCCGTCGGCGACCTCCTCGACGCGGAGAAGCTCTCGGACCGGTGCATCAAATTACGATCGTACCCTCCTCCATCTCTATTGTATCGATCGGTCCCCTTCCTCCGGTCGAAACCGTCGAACTCGTGCCCCGGCCTCTTCCGGACAGTTCTGGACCCTCCGCCAGAACCGACCTGTTCCCGGTCGTCGTAGGAGCGAGCCGGCGCCAGAGAAGAAGCCGAGGAGGACGAAGAGAGCAAACCCTTCCGCACAGTATCTGGCTTATAGTAGAAGCTCCGGTGCGAGTTGGAGGAGGTTCGGCTGGGGTTGGAGCTGGGGTTCGGGTTAGGATTCGGATTCGGATCCTTCCCGAAGGAATCGAGACCGTCGCTGGATCTCAGCCTCTTCATTTCTCCCCCAAATTGAAAATTAAATTAAAAAATAAAATAAAAATTGAAGAGCTGCCGACTACGACGTTGTATTTGAAAGGGGTGAGGGCTTTTGGCCATAAAGGAGGTCGAATTTACGGGGATTGCCACGGAAGCTGGTTGAAAAGTGAGCCGGGGTAGCAGAGAGAGAGAGAGAGAGAGAGAGAGAGAGAGAGGGGACAGCCAGCGGAGAGGAAGGTTCGGGGAGAGTAGAAGGGGTAAAATTAGAAGGACAATGATGTCCTTGAGTCAACGCAGTTCTAACAACTGATGAGGAGAGAGAAAGAGGGAGAATGAGTTGGATACGCAAAGTGCGTGGAAAAGCATTGAAGAGTGAGTCTCTTACAGTAGGGTTCTCTCTCCCTTTTATTTTTTATCTCCTCGTTTTACCCTTTTATTTAATTTTATTCTTTATATAAAAATTTCAAAATATGATGTAAACGTGGTATAATCACAACCATTTAAATAAGAGAGGATGAAAGAAGAGAGAGATTAAGAGATGAGAGAATTCTACTTCCCTTTGTTGGCAACGAAAGTGTGTTTGAATGCACGAAGTCGAAAGGGGTGCGTACCAAAGACATATTTTTTAATTTTAATTTTACTAGTATTCGAGGAATTGGAGAATTCGAAAGTTTTACCGCATAAGAGAGAGGGAGCTTCGAACATGAAATACGTTAATCACTAGAATACTTGCTACAAACAACATTCGACTAATGTTAGTAGGTGTGATGAAAGAAAAGATTCAACAAATGTTAAATGCTTTCATTCATCAAAAAATTAAAATTAATATTGAAACTCTTTTTCGCTCTTATTTTCTTAAAATGATCGAGACATTCATTTGAAAAAAATTTATTCGATACCTTATTTTCTCAGTAGTCCTTCTCTAGGTACAAAAAGGAATTTACAAAATATCTCCAAAATTCGATGTACTTCATCAAGTGTGAGGCACATCTCATGTTTGCCGAATCTAAAAATTATTGTCTTTTTTTATACCTGTTATTGACAGTAGCTCCACAATCGACAAAAACTTTAGAAACCGGATATCCCTCGATGTGTGCCGTTACATACAATGGCTTTAAATGGTGAAGCTTGGCCGATGATAAACGAGGGAACAATTCGGCCAAAGCGACCTTTAGACTATCATCTTTTGTTGTTGACTCGCCTTCAGCAATCGATACAAAATCAACATGGCCAGGTTCCTCGACAACCACATCTCCATCGAGGAAATTTGGTTGAGCCATGCTTGATTGAAAATCGGCAGGTAACACATGGACCATACTAATTTCCATATTATCCAGGACTGACGGGCCCATCTGGTCGAGACCCTCCTCGTTCGGTTGGTCAGCGACTACGGACTCAGTTGTCGTCAGAGTCGGACAACGAGATTCTTCCGTCCCTTCAATAATGTCACTCGGCGGAGCTGCTTCGGCCACTTGTTGGTTCTGCGTGACCGCCTTAGGTAAGGTCGAGATTGACAATGAACTTGGGGTCAAGACCTGAACCTGCTCCTGGTAGTGTAGCCGAGCATCCCTAGTGTCGAGATAAGCATCCAGACGGGCAATACGGGCGATTTCATCGGTCGTAAGGCCGAAGAGAGAAACCGCCGAAAATACTTCAAAGTGATACCGTAAATACTGAAGGTCCTCCAGCGAGAAAGGAAGGTCAGCGACATCGATATCGGTATACGGGTCAACTTCAAATCCAAAGACACGAGCTTCTCGTATGTGCTGGAACCTTGCTTTCAATCCTGGATCTGAGGTCTTCTGGATGATCCGCTCAGCATCCGGACAAGTCAAGACAAGATCAATGGTGTCCTGACATGCCTTCGGCAAACCATACAAATCGTTGGCCGAATGTTTCTTATGAAATTCTCGCATATACTCCAAAGACTCCCCAAGGAACGGGGGGTGCAAATTCCGTCGAATTTTGACCAAAGGCTCTTGTATAACTAGCGGGGATAATTTGCTTTCGGCCTCTTGCCTGAAATGTTCAAAACGTGCCTTCATTTCCCCTGGTCGAATGAGAAGTTTGATCCACTTATCAGCTTCTTCAAACATGGTCTCGACGTCTTGATCGACCAGCCGTTTCCCCTGAGCCAACTCTGTCATAATTGGTGGAGGTGGTCGCTCCTCATTAGTGGCAACTGTATCCTTCGGTCGCCACTTAGGGGCCGAAGTTTCTTGGGCTGCTTGTCGGCGAGCCATGCAATCTATCCGTTGATGCCGGCGTTTCTGAGATTTGGACAACGCGGTGTAAACGCCCTTCGAAGAATGGTATGTATACCAACGTTGATCTCTAGGCTCGGGAGGCTTGAAGGTCTTTTGACTCCGTGATGATCCTGAACTGCTAGAATTACGCTTATAGTAATCATCGTCATAAAATGAAGCATCAAAATCAAGGCGCCGCCTGACCGGGGGTGTATCTTCCATCCGTACTTTAGGACCGAGCCTCTCAAAAACCCCGTGATGGTGGCCTTCATTGGCTACCTTTTGCCGAGTTGCGGCCACAGGCTCCGAAGAAGGCTTCTCCTCTGATTCACTGTCGACCTTTGCTCTACATTTCCTGCACAAAACCGCCGTCCCACTATCTTCATCAGTACTATAATCCATCATAGATTTGACAATAGCGGGCCCCGTTAAAGCCGTAGGTGGTTTATTTGAACGAAAATCGGCCATGAACCGTGGCCGAATATTCTGATTCCGCGGGCGTTGTGTCTCAACTACTTTAGCCTTGCCTTTCCCTTTGTCCTCGGGTAGGTACGCGTCGACCATGTTTACTGTTGCCGTGGGGAATGGATCAGTATCCACACTCATCTTTTTTTCGGGGAATTTCAGTTTGCCATTATCAATCCAGTTTTGAACGTTGTCGCGAAATACAACACAATTGTTTGTCGTATGTTTGCTTGAATTGTGGTATTTGCAATACATCTTCCCTTTAAGCTCTTCGGCCTTAGGAATGTTGTGACCAGGCCGAAGCTTGATAATTCTTGCGGATAACAGTTGGTCGAAGATTGCGTCAGCCTTGGTAATATCAAAAGTGTAGACCTTTGATGGTTTCAACACTCCTTCAGCGGCCGAGCGACTTTTGACTTCTCTAGAATCAACCTGAGTTAATGCCTTGCAAACGTATGGCTTATCTATCACTATCTCGGCCGCATCCACACTGACGCATTCATCCTCGGTTGACGCATAGCTGACAGTAGGATTTTTGTACAACGTCCCCCGAGATGGCGTTTTCGAAACCTTTTCCTCACGGAGCAAGTAGTCGTACTGTTCAACATGCTGGGCTAATTCATACATGTCCCAAAAGTTTGCCCCCAGGAATTTCTTTTTGTATTCGACGTCGAGGCCGTTCAAAGCAAGCCTGACAAATTCGACTTCGGGTAAGGGCACTCGGCACCAATTCCGGGCCGATTTGAACCTAGTGAGATAGTCCATTGGTGATTCATCAGATGCCTGAGCCATCCTTGCTAATGAAGAAACTGACATCTCCATCCCTGGTCGATAAAACTGCTCATGGAACTTCTCGACCAACTCTTCCCAGTTCTGGACGGAATTGGGGGGTAGATTAATGTACCAAGCAAATGCCGAGCCGGTCAATGAGAAGTTGAATAGCCGTAACTTATGAAAGTCGCTATTGACATCTCCGCATTGCGCAGTGAAACGAGCCACGTGCTCCAACGAAGATAAAGACGATTCATCGGCAAAAAGACTAAAATCTGGGATCTTGAAACCCTTCGGGTACCCAAACGATTCCACGTAAGCTGGGTACGGATGAATAAACTTAGGAAACTTCAGCCCTTTCTTCATGGCCGAGTCAATCATCCGCTGAACTTCGGTCATATCAACAGGTGTTGCTTCGACCCTCTGGTCGGTCCCGTCTGACCTACTATTCGACCCTCCTCCTTTTCTCCAAGTTAATTGGTTTGAGCAGGGCAGGAATAGGCCCGGCCGGTACAATCGGTGCCGGGTTGTTTCCTGGTAAACAAGGTTGGCGAAGATCGAAAGGCCTGCTGCCACCAACTTGACTAACCAGCATTTCGAGCAGCTTGGTTTCCCGATCATTGGCACTGAGTATCGCGTCATGCAGCTTGTCAATGCCTCGACTGAACGTCTGCTCGACTGACCGAGACTGCTCGTCCAGTCGCTTTCGGAGAAACGACCTCGTTGGTGGGTCTGATCCTTCACCACCATCCTCGTCACACTCCTCTATTATCCCTTCATTGAGAACGCATGTGTTTCTGTTAGGGATCTCTAAACCACGGAGTTGACCGCCGAGATTAACTTCTCTCTCTCGGCGAGTCGCGCTCGTGGACTCAGGTGTACCAACGCTAAGGGGATTCTGCGCCTGTGGCACACTCTGTCCTATGCTCTGACTCGGTAAATCGGCTGTCGACTTTCCCATAGCTGTTTTCTTTTTTACCGATCGTGTTTCAATTGGCATGAACTTCGTAGTTTAGCACTGGGTCCCACCGGGCGTGCCAAAATGTTGACCCTAGAAATTACAAAGCCTACGTGGCGCGCAGGCCGAATATATTCTAAGCTAACTACGTCCTTCGGTGATTGCGGGGCGTGCTAACTCGTCGGCCGAGGCTCGGCCGAGGAGTAAATTTGATGATGCTGCGTTGGGTCGCGCTACTGACTTCTGCGTCTTGCGATTGCGGCCGAGAAAGGAACGCGTCTCGGCCTCTTAGGTTCTCGAGCCTGAAGACAAGGCTGCTATTTCTTACAAAGTTCACGAACCGAATTCAGCTTGCAATGTGCCGAATGTAATAACTGTAACACCTCACCTCGCCGAGAAGGCTAATGAGATGACCTCGACCAACAAGGATTCGAAAACCCTTCTCGACCGAGACTTGGATAGGCAATCGACCGTTCTCGCCGCAGTGCTGTTGATGCCAACGGAAGATACTGCGAGACCGACCGACTCTACGGTGACAGAGCTATCTATGCCGACTTAAGATATCACCGGTTGCTTCCACAGTGTTGTTGATGCCAACGGAAGATGTGTCAGCGAAAAAGGAAAAGAAAAAGATCTCAAGTTGTGAGAGTTTGCGCAGGGCAATTTTTGTGTTGATTTGCAGGGGCTTTTCCTGATGCACAGCGTCCCCTATTTATAGTACTGAACCTTGAGTCCGAGTTTAAATCCTACTCGGACTAGGTTTCCCTTTCCGGATCACCTCGACCAGTCCTACA